CGCGCTGGCCAGCTCTGCTGCCGCCGCCGGCCGAGCGCCCCCTTTATGGGCCGCAGGGACCTTGGCGGGCGGGCGGGCAGCGGCCGTCCCATGGGGCCAGGTCCTGCCAAGGCCCGTCCACCCCCGCACCTGCGAGATTGGGGCACAAAGACCCGCTGTGAGCAGGGGCGGGGCGCTCGCCCTGGGCCCCAGCGCCCTCGCCTCCCCCGCTCTTATCTCCGGCTGCTGCTTACGTCAGCAGCGGGGAGGGCACGGGGGAGTCGGTGAGAAGGGGGTGTCGCCCCTGCCCAGGCCCTGCCGGCGCCCCAGCGCTGCCCACTGCCCCCGCACTGAGCCTTCCCCCCCACTCTCCTGCGGGACCCGTCTGCCCCGCTGCCCCTCCACAGCTCTGGCGGGCGCCGGGCCCGGTCGGAGCGCAGGGGCAGCTGGGCAAGGCCCAAGCTGGACACGCAGACTGCGGCCCAGACCTGGGGGGCCCCCAGCATCGCCTGCGCTCCGGGGTCTCCCTCTCCTCTGGCAGCAGCTTGTCCACAGCGCCGGACGGACAAGCCTTCCTGACCCCGGTGGGCAGAAGCCAGGGCCTTCGCCGCCGGCAGGGCGGCCGAGGTGCCGGCTCCCGCACCCCTGCGGCCCGCCCTGCCGCGCCAGGGCCTCTCCCGCCCGGCTGCCTCGGGGCCTGCAGGGAGCACAGTGGCCCTCCACCTCGGGCCTCCGGGGCCTCAGGTGAGGGGGTGGGGGCCGGGGCGGAGGGCTGCCCCGGGCGCTGCGGCTGGACTCGCCCTGTGCGCGTTCTGAGGGGCCCTGAGCGCCCCCACACCCGCCGTCTGGGGCTCCAGGCGGAGCCTGCCTCGGGCGGCCACGTGGGGGCGCGCGAGCGACGAGCCCGCCGGTGCGGTTACTGGGCCGGCGGGTCCGGCCGGCGCCGCGCCAGACGCCTCCAGCCGCGCTGGCTGCCAGACCGGCACCTGCTCACTCAGAGGCAGAAGCCCAGCGGGTGCGGAGCTGTCGGTCCCCGTGGGGGCCCTGGCCGGCGGTGCCATCCTGCCTGCGCCTGCCTTTGACCACGGGAGCCAGACTGCTGACCAGAGCTGACCGCTGACCCGTGTGCCGGCCCTGGGCCACGGCTGCCGAGGACCTTGCCCCGCTGCCCGGGGCTGGCCAGCAGCAACGGGCCAGGCGCGTGGGGCCCAGAGGGCCTCCTGCGCGCCGTCCTGGGGCCGCCCAGGGACTCAGCCCGCACAGACGGGAGCTCGTGGGGGCGGGGCGGCGGGCAGGGCCACGGGGCAGGTGCCCCCAGCTGCCCCCAGGGCCGGGCACAGGGACACCCCAGGGGCAGCAGCCTTCCTTCCGTGCACAGGGCCTGCCCAGGAGCAGAGTGGGCAGGTCCGCGGGAGGGTCTGGGGAGCCGCTGGGCTCCGGAAGCCACTGGGTCCAGGCCACTGGGTCCAGGCCTCCGCAGGACCCCAGGCGCCGCCCTTCCGGCCCTGCCTGCGGGCTTGGCCCGAGTCCCAGTGGCGGCCTCAGGGCCCTGCCCTCCTCCCCCATCCTGGGGGCCTCGCAGCTGCGCCCCAGGCGGCAGGCCCAGCCCCTCACCCTTGGATTCCTGGCACATCCCGAGGGACACTGGTATGCCAGAGGCCTGGGGCCTGCCCGGCCCCCCTAGCCTGAGCCCCCCACCTGGCCCTCGGTGGCCGCTCCACCAGGTTTGGGAGCAGAGCTACGGGCACAGGGGTCCTGAGTTTGTACTTGCCGATCGGGCAGCCCCTCACCCCACTTCCGGAGGTGTGGGGGCAAGCCGAGGGCCCCACCCGGGCATGGGGTCCCTGGGCCCAGACTGGCTGCTCCCCCACGGGGATGCTGGGCCCGTGGGGGAGGGGCGGAGCACGTTAAGCAGCCGATAAGGGCCCAGCCGCCTCCCCCGAGGCCGCGGCGGGGTCTGTGGCTGCACACCCGCTGGTCCTGGCCATCGGCCCACGCGGCGGCCAGCCAGGGCCCAGGGCCCAGGAGGGGTCTGCGGCCCCTCAGCCCCAGGCCCGCGTCCAGCCGGACGCTGGCCTGGCCCCTCCTCTGCCCTGCTGGACGGCCAGGTCCCCCCAGCGTGGAGGCCGGGCCTCCGCCTCCCGCCAGCGCCCCGAGGGCGCGAAGGTGGGGCCGGCAGCTCCCGCGGGGGTGGGGCGCGCCCCCCCCCACTCAGCAGCTGGGAGGGACGTGGGGGCAGCGCGGCCTTGGGCGGCCTGCAGGTGTCCGGCCAGGGAGCCCCGCCGCCCGCCCCCCCTCCACCCCAAGGAGGCAGTGGAAGCCTCGTGGGAAGCTCAGTGAGAGCAGGCGGGGTCACCGCGCCCCAACTCCCCCAGCCCAGGGGCCAGACCCGCCCTTGGCGGGCACCCCCCTTCCTTCACAGCACCCCGTGGCCTGCCCCGCCCACCTCCTGCTCGGCAAGCTCGGGGGGCCGGGTCGGGCCCTGAGGGGCCTTCAGGGTCGGGGCTGAGTGCACACTGGGCTTGGGGGTCCCCGTGCCGGCCTGGGGGCTGCCAGGAGCCGCCCGCCGTTCCCACCCGAGGCAGCGGGCGGCCCCCCAGCCGGGACCGGGCAGAGGAAGCGGCAGCGCCCAGAACCGCATCTAGGAACCTGCGAGGTGACCCAGCACTTCGCTCAGGAAGCCTTGGGCAACGCTGCTGGGGCTCAGCCAGGCCCCCGCGGGGCGGGTTGGGCGGGGCCAGGGGCCGCTGGGCCCTGTCGGGCGGCCCCACCCTCAGCTGAGACCAGCGGCGGCAGGGCCGGGCGCGGGGTGTGTCTCTGGGCGTGTTGGGGTGCTCCCCGCTGGCTGAGCCCAGACCAGCGCCCTGTGTCCAGCCCTGGGGGACAGCACCTGCCTCCTCACCAAGGAGGGGCCTGCAGGACGCCCCCCCGCGCCCTGCGCCCGGCCGGGGCAGCCCAGCCTTGGGGCGCTCGGCGGGCTGGGCCCCGGGCACTCCCGCTCCTGACAGGGTCGCGGACGCAGGCCAGTGTGGAGGGGTCTGGACCCCAAAACCAAGACTGAACACCCTCTGAGGCCCGTGCCCCCACACGGGAAGCCTGTCTGGCCCATGAGCCCAGCGGTGAACCCCAGTTCTCTCAAGAGGGGCCAGTGGCCCTGCTCTCGCAGCGCCCGGGGCTGGCCTTGCGCGGGGGCTGGAGCTGCTGGCCGGTGCGCTGCCCGTCTGGGGCTCCGGGCCCAGGCCCAGCGTCAGCGGC